ATTTACCAATCTCTTTTTGCGCCTTTTTCAATGTTATGTCATAGCGCTCTATCTGAACATTACAGAAAGTATTCAAATATTTAGATATGTTCAAATAGATTTGTGCTAATAACTTTTTAAGTGGAGTCCATGAAAAGATGTTCACTTCGAAACGACAACAAACAATTGGCATAATTATAATCATTCTCTTTTTAAAATTGTAGTCTTTCCTTTTAATTGCCACTAATACAACTTCATTTAGTAAAATGACGGTCACCTATAGATGCTGATGATATAGTTTGTCTGCATTGAATCAATTTGTAAGCTCTATTGATGCCGTACTTTTTTACTTGTCTACTTTGCAACGTCTTTTTTTTTAAGAAATGTTGACCTCAAATCATAAAAACGCGGAGTTTATGAAATAAAATGTAGGCCGAAGACGATAACCATAAAACATGTATCTGAGAAACCGTGTGTAACAACAATAGCTGCTAACATGTGTCCACTATGTAACGATATATGTCCCCTATGAAGTGTTCACTTCGCAACGAACACGTTGCGTAGTGGACCGTTACGCTGTGGACGTATTTGCATGTTAGCAGCCATTGTTGTTACACGCGGCTTATCAGATACATGTTTTTATGATTATTGTTTTAGACAATACATTTTATTTCATAAACTCCATGTTTTTTCTGATAATTTGAGGTCAACATTTTTGAAAAAAGACGTAGTGGACAAAGAGCGTTACACAGTGGACATTTGTAAATATTTCGTGTAGTTAAAACTGCAAATCAAATAGTTACACCGTATAAAATCATTTATTGTGTCCGATTCTTGAAGAAAAAATACCTTTAAAGATTAGTTTTGTAGCATGGTAGAGCCTAACAAAATCCTTGCGAAGTGGACTTCTTGGTAAACCATGTTCACTTTTTTTACAACATAATAACATAATGTACCGATCAGTTGCAAAAAAGATTGAATAATTGGTTTGGTATCACAATAACAAATAAAAAAAAGCGAGAATAACACAAAGTGCCGATTTACGAAAACTGGAGTTTATTGAAAGGTAGTCTAAAGCCAAATGCCAACTAATAAAAAGACAGAATAATATGTCTGATCAGTATACTACATCGCAGTTAGTGTAAAGATGGCAAAAGCAATCTGATACAAGCTTGCCGAAATTATTGCTTTCCTTCACATTAAAGAATCTGAATATTTCTGAATTTATGTATGATACGGCAGGATAAGTTTACTGTTGTTTTCAATCATTGTGCTTTTTGCTTGATTTTTGTTTTTTGTTTTTTTGTTTTTTGTTTTGTCTTATTATTTTTTTTTGGGGGGGGGGGGGGGGGGGTTAAGTTATGTGATTTTTATGAATTCCATAAGTATCATTATAACATGAAAACAAATCAACGGAAACATGATTTTTTTCGAATGATCCAAGATTAGGGGAAGGGGACGCTAAAATGTGTTTTTAACCCCAACACATTTTTTGTGTGAATGTTCAATATCAGCAGCCTGTAATTTAGTTGTTATTTTTAGTGGTAGTCTATCATGTTTTCCATTAGCTGTTTAGCCTAAATCAGGCCGTTAGTTTTCTCCTCTCAATTGGTTTCAAATTGTTCATGCCTTGTATTGGCTTTGATAGCTTTCTTACTTAATCTGTTTTTAATCATTACTGAAATCTGAACAGTGTTCTACAGTTGTTTACAACCACGCCATTTAGTCTCCTATGCATAGTTATCTCATTGAAAATCATACTATATCTCCATATTTTTACAGGTGTTATGAAAATTTCTTCAGTTTATTTAACAACGATTCAGTTAAATAAATACTTGCAAAACAAAATTATAATAATCATGTTCCTCGTCAATGCATCAAACTAGCTCATCAATTAAAGTTATTCTAATTGTAAAAAGGTAAGAGAAAGTATGTCAGAAACTATTTTTAAACATGTTTAAACACAGGCAAACAAACATTGCATGCAAGATTATCGTCTGCGCACTAGAGCGTCTAGTGCGTATATTGTATTGAAATAATTTACGTTTTAATACAACAATTTTGGACGATAAAAGTAAAATATTTTATTTTTTATTTAGTGTGTTCTTTACCGTTTCAATTACCTGTTGAATATTACATTTCAGACATAAGGTAATGTTGTATTGTTTTGTATTCATCTTTTCCATATCATTTTTTAAAATTTTGTTTTTATATCGTAAATACTGTAAATTCAATTATTGCGATGCTTTTATTAATACAAAACAAGCGACAGTATCATGTTCGTCATAGTAAAAACTCGCATCAATCATTTCAGTAGTGATTTCCCTTCACATAATTTTTTCCCCCCGATCGCATTAGTTGGATATCACAGTTTTACAAGTAATCAGAGATTCGCTTTAATAGATTCCCGCATTAATTTCTAAATTAACAGAATATTTCCGTAATTATCAAGTCTACGATAAAGCAATGTAATTTATTTGAGGGCTTTGTTTTTCCTAGTTTAGTTGAAACTAATTGCCGGAATTTGTCCCTAAAGGAAAGTGTTCTCACTATTATATTTCTAGTGTAATACTTTTACCTTATAGTTATGTTAATATATGTTATCTATTGCAATATAACGTTTATTCGTATATTTCATTTTTCATTTGATTCGCATGAACTGCCAATAGATGTAAACGAATAAATGATCATTGAATGTTTTAAACCTTTTTATTTTTAAGATGTTATAAATTAGGAATACGATTTTTGATTCTGAAAACAATTTTGTCGAGCCATACGAAGTAGTATAGAGCTAGTTTTTGTAAGACCAATTCCAGGTCATTGGTGGAAGTATAAATATTACATCTGTGTAAAATAAATGAAATGTTGAAGATAGGGATTAACTTGTTCAGCGGGATTAAAAGGCTTGATAAAAAGGATTAAAATGTAAATTGAAAGGCAAAGTTCAAACCGAATAATTAGCCTTGATTTGTTCATGCAATTCAAAACCTGAACGTAAAGAAATGAATAGAGTAGGATACACAATGAAAAGGTTGTATAAAAATAATAGTAAAATTCTACATTCCCACGTTTTCACTGTGTTTCTTTGTATTCTTTCTCTTCTACTTGAATTCAATGGTCTGCAAAGAAATACATTATTTTACGAAACAAAAATGGTCATAATAAATTGCTAATACTTGTTTCCGAGCTACCAATCATAAAATGACGAGCTTAAAATATTATTGGGCATAGAAACGCAAAAATATTGACATTTGATACGATGTCATTTGTCAGTTATTGGTTACATCTATATTCATTTTTATCACATATTTGTAACGGAAACGTAGGGTTTTGCATATGTAATAACCACAGAATTGTCCTAGTCATATTCTTGCCCGGGGCAAATAACAAGTTATTGTGCCCTGTAATGACGTCATAAGCGTTCATAACAACAATGACGGACGAGGAACGTCGATTAAAATGACAGCGGAATTATTTTAGTCAGGGCAAAAATGTATGATCTTGCCTGACGGAGTAATATAATTTTTTCTTCTTTTTTCAGCATTTGTATAATATGTGATAATTAGATTACAACATGTCCTTTTCCATATGGTTCCTGTTATCATCCCTCGACCCATATGAGCCCTCGGCTGGCTGCTTGGGCTAATATGGGAGTCTCGGGATGATACCAGGGCCGATATGGAAAAGCGCATGTCATAATCTATAAATATACATATAATGGAATTCAATGCTACTGTCATACAAGTGAAAGGTTTAGCTAGCTATAAAACCAGGATTAATTTCTACACAAGGAAATGCCTGTACTAAGTCAGGAATATGACAGATGTTTTCCATTCGTTAGATGTGTTTTAGCTTTTGAATTTACCATTTTATAAAGGACTTTCCGTTTTAAATTTCTCTTGGAGTTCCGTATTTTTGTTATTTTACTTTTAAATTCTAAGTATATGGTGACTTTTATTAAAACAAATGTTGCAAAAGGGAAACGTAATTGCATTCATGGCTAAAAATGAACATATAGTTTATCTTTTTGTTATTTTTATACTAATCTTGTAATCAAACTCTAAAGCACAAAGTATCTATAAACATAAATGTAACACCGTGATAAATGATATAAATTTTCCAGCTATACAATGTAGACATAAATTATAAGTTAAAACATGACAATAACATGAATAAGATGGGATAAGATATAGACAGAAGTATCAATTCACATATGTCAACAATATAAAGTTTTGACGTTTCCTTGAAGATAGATATGTCTTTCACATGAAAATAAGATAAAAACAAGTTAACAGGACATATAATTACTAAACTTCCTCCGACCGTAAGATATTTTCTTCATTTAAAGATTATTTTCTAAACAATAATTATCATTTTAGGTTTTCTTTTTCCTGAAAATTATATTTATCTATAAAAGAAAACAAAAACAAAAGCTAAAATAAACACACAAATTACACACACAAACAAATAAGTACACACATCCGATATTTAAATGTAAGCAATAACTTTACAGTTGTTGTCTATAAAAGACACTAAATAACCTTTATGACTACAAAAAGGGAATATTGTATATATATTTATTTTCCGTCTTTATACTCAAATAACAATTCAATCTCGTCATTTTACAATTTGGATCTCGAAAACAAGTATAAATAATTTGTTCAGATATTTTGCTTCGTACCAAAATGTATTTCAGTGCAGAACACTGAATTCAAGAACATGAAGAAGTTAACAAATAAAATGAATTGATTATCACACTTTCATGATGTTCTGGTTTGAATTTTGTTTTTCATCATAACGTTTAATTATTCGATTCAAATTTTGCCTTTAAAGATACATTTTAATCTTTTTCAAGCATTTAATCCTGATGTACAAGTTAATCTTCCCATTTTTGACCTTATACACGAATGTATTTTTACTCAATCGCAAAGAAATAAAAAATTAAAAAGTAAACTATTTGATTAGACCCAGCAATATGTTTTTCGTACATCTGGATTAATTATAGTATTTTTTAGGCAAAAATGCAAAAAGATGATAAAGAGACAAATACCAAGGACGCAGAGATAGATTCATATGAAGGAGAAGGAAAGACAGTTGAGGAAAAAGAAACAGAAAAGGATAAAAATGTAGATCATGGTTGGGCTTGGGTAGTTATGGCAGGTATAATTGAAATATTTTATCATGCATCTAACTTTACTTACGTCTTAGCTATAAAACCAGGTTTAATCCACCATTTTCTTCATAAGACAATGCCTGTACCAAGTCAGGAATATGACAGTTGTTTTCCATTCCTTTGATGTGTTTGAGCTTTTGATTTTGCTATTTGATAAGGGACTTTCCGTTTTGAATTTTCCTTCGAGTTCGGTATTGTTGTTATTTCACTTTAAACACTCATAGTTGCTGTAATGCTGTATATGCATTGTATCACTACATGTTATTATGACTATTTCAGGATATTTGTGTTTGAATAATATATATCAGGTCAATTACAGCAAATCTCGAACCAATAACAAGGCTAGTACAAAAATAATCACGTAATACTGTCATAATAAAAATGTGTTTGATAACAGATTAATTATAAATATAAAGAAATAAAAAAACTTACAGAAACTTCCAAGATTGTAATCATTTTTAACTAATGATATGACTTGAAAGAAAAATCTAAAATCTGTACGAAATCATGTTCATAAAATTGTTCTTATGTATGTCGTTTAGAACCGGTTTTTACAGTTCTATTCTAGAACAGATTTTGACAGTTTTAAGATACAATATATTCTGACAGTACTAACTTCGAACAGTTTTAGAAAGTTCTACCCTTGAACTAGTTCTGACATTCTACCATAGAAAAGCTATTGGTTAGAATTACTCTAGAGTAGATTAAGGAATTAGTTATATGGCAGCTTATTCTGCAAGTTCTATTCTAAATTCTAACTGTAGCCTAACTAGGTACAGGCACAACATGTGGTGAGATGAAATTAGTTTTACGTGTGAACACACCTGATTTTTTATACACTCGTTATTTGCACAAAGTATTTAAACATAATCCGCACCATAATGAAAGTCTATCATTGTTCATTACAGTCGTTTCACAAGAATTATTTCTCATTTTTAAAGATTGTAAATACATTTGTTACACTTTACTATTTGTTGGTGTGAAATACACAGTTCAAAACGTTCCAATTCATTCTGTCATTAAATTGTATATATATCATTATACACTACGAGTGTGTAGCTTCTTTAATTTCGTATTTTCTGTAACATGAACACATGATTGTATGAATAATATAAGTGATATGGTTTGCTACTTACCCCGTACGGATCCATAGAGGGTTTTTAATTTAATAGGGATGGAGGCCGAAGGCCGAATCCTCTATCGATTTTTCTTACCCTCAGTAGTGAACCGTATAACGATTTTATTGCACACAAGACTTTTCCTGCCAAGTTTTGTATACAAATAAACAATGAAATACAATTACATTAATATATGACATCATCATTAATAGTAGACGTGACGTCACGATATTTCAATGAAATTAACTGGTCCGGGTATAACGACGTGACAGCGTCAAACCAATCACTACGTCACTAGTTTACCCGAGTTGCGTTAAAAAAGAGATATGGGGTATGCATCAATAAAACAGCAACCCGACTACACAAATATTCAAACAATATATACAGGTTAAAGTTTGATGATCTGATAACTATAATCACTTACATACATTAAGGCGACAGTAGTTTATTCTTGAGCTTTTGATTTTACCATTTGATAAGAGACTTTCCGTTTTGAATTTTCTTGGAGCTCGGTATTTTAGTTTTTTTTACTTTTTACCGATGTTCAAATCTCGCATATCGATGCATTGTTGTAGACAGACAGTTATAGAGTTGTCTGCAGAAAATTTCCCTTGATTAGACAAATCACTTGATAACAAAATTATCCGATACGGTCTACATTTTTTTTATATTATGTGCGTTTCATTAGAACAGCGAATTCAGATATAAATTGTGCTCCTTTTTTTTTATCTTTGTTTTTTTATTTATTTTTTTTTGCAGCGGCCACAGCAAGTTTTTGTGTGTTTGCTTCCTCGTTGAGAGGATTTGGTGTTTTCTTTAATGGTTTTGTTGACAAGTTCGATTCCAGTTCATCTTTAACCTCTTCTATAACTGGTATTCTACATGCAACATACAGTATTTCTAGTAAGTATTCAAAATTCAAAATCGTCATAATGGTATTTAGTCTCAATTTGCAAGTAGAGATCTATGAATTTGTAATTTATCGTCGGTATACATATTTGACTGTTCTAGATACTTAAAGATTTTAAATAAACTCTTTCTCCAGAAGTGTATTTCTATTGTCAAATTATATGCATTTTTGTGAAATATTTGTGTTAAAGTTATGTTTTCATTGTTTCTTCTTTTTTTTTCCTTTCTGTTTGTTTATTTGTTTATGATGTCATATTAAACAAAACTATAGTGTGTTTAGTCGCATTGAACAAGTAGCTGGTTTACAATACACAAAGCGGTATTCCCAACAATATATGTGCAATGTATGTGTACATGATAATCAAAGTTTATGCATATTGGGAGTAGGTGGATATTCGTTTATGTGAAATTGGTTCTTTCAAACTACCTTCATTTTTATCTGTATGGATTATTTCAAATAAAAAAATAGGTAATTATACACCACATTCAAATTATACACTTTGTCCAAAGGAACAGAAAATGGACCTTTTCCATGTACCTTCTCATTAAAAAAAAACTTAAATATGACTGTTACAAGCATGTTTAAGACGTTTTTGTGATTAGATATTTGAAAGCACGCCATAGTTTACAAATGAACAAGTGATTAGAAAATGATATCAGTAAACCAGGAGGTCTACTTGTTTTCATAATTTGGATGAGCTAGGAAATTAACAGAAATCGAGGTGAAACGAATATTGTATTGCTTTCTTAAGGTTATCTGACGGATACTATTTACAATTAATCTACTGAAGCAAGGATTCCTAGTCGTAAAGTCGAATTGATCACTTCGGAAGTTTTACTTGTGATTTCACGAGTTGGTTATCTGTTATTTAATATATGTGTCAAAGATAACAACGAATATGTTCGTAGCCAATCTTTCGTCCTATTTCCTCGATGATGACATCGAATGTGACTTAACACAAAATTAGTTCTTACCATGAGCAGCACGACGGGTTCCAAATTTGGAGAAGAAAATACTAATCCTTCGGAGGCACCCGATATTAACCCGGTAGGTGGAATGGTTTGTGTTGATCAGTCTAGACAGTTTTTTGTCTTTTCGTCTTTTTTCGTTTTTTTTTGCAATCATTTTATCGGTCTCTCTTTAAATAAACTCAACATAGATACCAAGATTAAAATTTTGTACGCCAGACGCGCGTTACGTCTACAAAAGACTCGTCATTGACGCTCGAACCAAAAAAAGTTAAAACATAAAAAAACATATAAAGTACGCATTTGAAGAGCATTGAAAACTTAAAATTTCCTTCTAGATACTTAAAGTCGCATTGAACAAGTAGCTGGTTTACAATACACAAAGCGGTATTCCCATCAATATATGTGCAATGTATGTGTACATGATAATCAAAGTTTATGCATATGGGAGTAGGTGGATATTCGTTTATGTGAAATTGGTCGCATTGAACAAGTAGCTGGTTTACAATACACAAAGCGGTATTCCCATCAATATATGTGCAATGTATGTGTACATGATAATCAAAGTTTATGCATATGGGAGTAGGTGGATATTCGTTTATGTGAAATTGGTTCTTTCAAACTACCTTCATTTTTATCTGTATGGATTATTTCAAATAAAAAAATAGATAATTATACACCACAATCAAATTATACACTTTGTCCAAAGAAACAGAAAATGGACCTTTTCCATGTACCTTCTCATTAAAAAAAAACTTAAATATGACTGTTACAAGCATGTTTAAGACGTTTTTGTGATTAGATATTTGAAAGCACGCCATAGTTTACAAATGAACAAGTGACAAGAAAATGATATCAGTAAACCATGAGGTCTACTTGTTTTCATAATATGGATGAGCTAGGAAATTAACCGAAATCGAGGTGAAACGAATATTGTATTGCTTTATTAAGGTTATCTGACGGATACTATTTACAATTAATCTACTGAAGCAAGGATTCCTAGTCGTAAAGTCGAATTGATCACTTCGGAAGTTTTACTTGTGATTTCACGAGTTGGTTGTCTGTTATTTAATATCTGTGTCAAAGATAACAACGAAATAAACTCAACATAGATACCAAGATTAAAATTTTGTACGCCAGATGCGCGTTACGTCTACAAAAGACTCTTCATTGACGCTCGAACCAAAAAAAGTTAAAACATAAAAAAAACATATAAAGTACGCAGTTGAAGAGCATTGAAAACTAAAAATTTCAAAACTTTCAGTTGTAATGTTCCCCTTTGTATATCTTCCGCTTCTTGTTTTTTAATAATTTAGACACAATTCTATTATTGCTTTTTATCTTACTTTTAATTATGCCGTAGAAACATTTTTTAATTGATTGATTGTTATGAAATGCAGGATATGTCGGGCATACGTCAAACGACTTTATAACCTAACAAAATCAAACAGTCTTCAACAATAGACAGTTGTTTATACAATGTGTCAAGTTTTTAATCGTCAGTAGGGTATTCAAGTTGTAAATGAAAGTGTTGCCTTAACATCCTGTAGAATAAATCAAATCGAACTGTTTTTATTTTCAAGTCAAGGTTGCTATATTGCGACCTACTGTATATAACAAACAAGTAACTATATTTTCAGCCCTTCCAGTGCTTACAATTGGTCTTCGGTTTTTATCAACCAGACAGTGTTTAATGATAGCTGGTGTTTTGTCCAGTGCAGCTTTTATTGGTGGGAGCTTTGCAACCAACACAACAACATTACTCTTCACAAATGGGTTTTTATCAGGTATACTATATTGTAGGTTTTGTCAGTATTTTTAATAAAAAAGAAGAATAGTGTAATAGGAAAATTATAAGGGAACCAAAAAAAAAAATAAAAATCAGAGATTTACAGACAAACCAGAGGGTTAGAACAAAACTATTACCATAGTTATTCGGTGTTTAGAAAAAAGGGTTGATTGCGAAAGGTTAATGCACAAGAACGACGATATTGATGAGAACCGAATTACTAACAGGACAACAATAGCAGAACAAAACCCAAATAAGCATAGCAACAGCAAAGATTGCATAACCGATCCTTGCTTCCAGACAGAAGGAATATGAATTGTCAGGGTAACAAGCTGTGCTCCCTCTATTCAATAGTCAGTAGAACATCAACAATGAATATCAACAATATAAATTCAATATAAAACACGCTATACTTCGTGAGTCTAATGTAGACGAAACATGTATCTAGCGTACTAAACTATACGCATGGTATCTTTGGTGAGTTTTCACAAAAATCAGGAGTAACAGCATAGGGTTCAGACTACCACATGCAAATATGTAGATCAAAAGTAGTTTTGCAATTACTGTTTTCGATCTTTTTGTAATTGTTTACGATCTAAACAAAAACATATTAGGATAATATTTAAAAAAAAAACAACAATTTTTTTTAAATTGATTTTTTAGAAGCTGTATAAGAAAAACATGATTTGAACTCACTTGCTGTGTCAAGTCGTCTTAATCTTACATAGAAACATACAACCCTACATTGTACATTTAGTCAAGGGGTGTAACAGTTCTGGAACTTATTAATTTGTGAATGGTAATGGTGTTTCGTTCAACAGTTATTTCTATTAAAAACAACAGACACCCCCTAGACAAATATGACACACACACATACACATAAACTCCCAACACAAATTCAAATAAAAAACAAGCAAAACAAAAAATAGCATATAAAGAAGAAAGGGTGGTATCGAAAAAAAGCTTCTTTTTTAACAAAAAAAATCTGTCAATTAAAAAGAAAATGATTCAACTCAAAATATTACATGTACTGAACTGTTTTTTTTTTTTTTTAGGTCTAGCGTTTTCATTTTTACATGGACCACTAGCTTATTTGATCGGCATCTACTTTATCAAACGGCGAAATTTAGCCCAGGCAATAACTATATCTGGTGGTCAGCTAGGAGGCCTACTTTTCCCTCCACTTTATGGATATCTAATCAGAAAGTATGGATTACAGGGTGGGATGCTTCTTACTGGAGGAATTCACCTAAATATCATTGCATTGGCAATTCTGTTAAGGCCAAAAAGAATCAACATTATTACGACAATTCAAGGGAAACTAAACCGTCAGCATTTTAGTACATCCAATATAGCAGAAAGAAAACAGATGATTCAAAACAATGATGATGAAAAAATGATGAATTCAAATGGAATGTTCAATGAAATGAAACGAAGTTTTAGTGAAAGTCTTTTAAAAAAAATTGTAAAACACGAGCCCGTCGCAAATCATATACTGTGTAACTTAGATCTGCATTTGACCAAACATAACAGAGATCGAATAATAACTGAAAAATATGTCGACAGTTTGTCACGTTCCAACATACTTAGTGTTGTAAGCAATTCATTGCCAGTCTTGAAGGTTACGAATACATCGCACATTTTGATAAAAGGGGAAGCGAAACAAACTTGCTGTCAATTTGTAGATGTTAGTTTGATGAAAGCGCCATTCATGTGGATTTATGCGTTGGTTTATTGCTTCGGGAGAGTGCCTAATGCATACAACAGTATTTATATAGCGCCGCTTGCACACGAGGCAGGCATTAGCAATAGCAGAATTGCAGATCTTGTTTCGCTAATTAATGCATGCGATTTTATTGGAATGATTTTATGTGGTTTCGTAGCAGATAGAAAACTTTTGAAAAACTATGTCATTGTCATATTGTCTTTGTGTTTCACTGGTGTGTGTTTGTCTCTCTCGTCATTATGTTCAGCATATTGGCATTTTATACTATTTTCTATAGCTACTGGTATTAGTGCTGGGGGAATATTTGCATTGACGCCAACAGTGGTGGCAGATTTTATGGGAATAGAAAATTTTAGATCCGCTATGGGTATTCTAGTTCTATTTCAAGGAGTAAGTTTGTCAGCTTCTGGACCATTCCTTGGTAAGTTTATTTAGAATTAAATGTATTCATTTTTCAAGATAAAAAAAAACAATTCCTTGTCAGTTATATCATCGGTCGCTAATTCAAATTAAAAAAAAAAGTTTTCTTCCCAAATATGTATCGGTCATCGGGTTTCACTGGGATGCAAACTTTTAGCAACGCAAATCTAATATGTTTATGCCCTGAATCCAGTAGTACAAATGTATAAGGCACATTTTGTTTGGTCTGTGCGCCCGTTTGTCCGTCCATATGTGCATACCATATTGCTTTTTGTTGAAGGCGTTTTGAAATGCAGTTGTGATCTCTTCACAAAATAGAACAGACACTTATAATGATTAAATATGCAAAACTAATAGCCTTTCAATACCGTCATAGTCATGATAATTGTTTTGACTTAGTATTGTGAAAATAATTGTATGAATTTCAAGATTATATATTTGTTACAAAAAAAACGTCACTGTTTGTGATGTCCTGTGCTGTCGTTAATGGAAGATGTTCGTTGTTATTCTGCAGTTTACATGTTTTAACGATTATTATATTATTTATTTGTGCGTTTCTCTGTGCTGAGTGTTTTTGCGTTTGTTTGTGATGTATTTCTGTCACGTAGCGTTGTCATTTTAGCGATAATTTTTAACATTGCCATATAAGCGGGAGGTTTGGCTAGCCATACAACCAGGTTCAACCCACCATTTTTTCTTAAAATGTCCTGTACCAAGTCAGAAATATGACAGTTGTTATCAAATAGTTCGTTTCTATGTATGTTGGCGTTGCACTTCAGTGTTTCTGTTGTTCTGTTGTTTTCCTCTTATAGTTGATGTGTTTCCCTCGGTTTTAGTTTGTAACCCGGATTTGTTTTCTCTCAAACGATTTATGACTTTTGAACAGCGGTATACTACTGTTGCCTTTATTCAAGATTCACTCCACTTTGAAATGTTATATTGCGAACGAGATACAGTGTCCTATGGATACATATTTTTGTTTATTCTGATTTTCGTAAGTGAAATATTTCCAAGTAAACAAATTGCATGATGTTTTCTTTCCATTTTGAGTAAAAAATTCCCACTTCATCATGTTTTTCTATGATATTCTTTGTGGTTTGTTAACATGCAGAAGATATTCATGGAGGGGAAACACTAACAACTAAGACAGAAAATTAATAAACTATTTTAAAAAGTAATATAAAATGATATATATCAATCTGGGGTTTGACACTTTTAATAAAAAACGGTGTTTACTTTATTGTTCATGTTGTTAGTCATACCAGAGATCGACATACAAGTGTACTAAGTAAGTGGTTTCTGCAGGTCACTTAAAAGAAGTATTTAGCAGCTTTATATGCGTCACTTTAGCATGAAAAAAGCTGTTACTGATGCAATAATATGATAATTGGTCAATCTATAGTCTGTATTGCATAGTCACTGTAAATTGGAGTATTCAATTGGATAAAGTATGTTGGTGGATTCCAGCTTATCTACATGTATTTTTTGAGATTAACATTATCGAAAAGAAGGAAAATGGTAACGAGAGTATTCACTTGTGTTAAAGGAATAATTAAGGAAAAAATACATGAGTACAATTTTTATTTTCTTTTGTTGAAATATTAGATAGAACCTTAAATACATACAATTGTACAAAGAAAAATCGAGCGGGAGATAAAACTTCAATACCAAATAGATGCCTTAGTGTTTAATGTCTTTTATGTTTCCTCGTTGACGTATTCCTCATATCTTTAATTTATCGTGTTTTAAATTCACTTATTTATTAAATATGCAGTTTAGTTTTGAAATGGTTATAATAGAATAGCAAATGGGTCAAAAACAACAACCCTATCAATATGCAGAAAACAGCACAAGGCCTCCGTTAGGTCTTCTACGCTGTAAGAAAAATCCCGCACCCGGAGGCAGCCTCAGCTGGCCCTTAAACAATGATGAACACTTGTTCAGCAAAATAAACTCCGAAGCATATATACAAATGAAACAAAAATTTAAAAAAAAAACACACAAGACTAACAAAAGCCAAAGGTTCCTGACTTGGGACAGGCGTACACAAGCGACAGGGTAAAACATGTTTTGTGAGATCTCAACCCTCCCCTATACCTCTAGCCACTGTGAAATAACCAAACACACAGCAATACGCACAGTAAAACTCAGTTTAAAAGAAGTTGAGTCTGCTGTAATGTAGAATAAGCATAAACATGAATTACAATATGACGCTTAAACAATGTCACATTTAAACTTTTAAATATATTATTTCTTTATTTTATATAAGGAAATGAAATAGGTTCTTTATTCAGCACCTCTTTATTCTTTATTGGTTTTTGACCTATTTTTTTCTTCTTTATTAGTTTTGCCTATTTTGTTTTTATTTTATTTCTTTTGTTAACCATTTGTTCTACACTTTTTGCCCAGTATTCTCTTTTCTCATTTCTGTAAAACCCATTCATACCATCATTGGATATGTATATATCAAATCGTTTACAAAAAGAAAAAAACTCACTTAAAAAATAATAATAAAAAAAAAAGATTACCAATGCATTATAGGTTTAAGGCATAGGTCAGATACTTATGTAAAGTATGAGTAACAAATGAATGTATTTCTTGATTAGAGAACCGGACATTGGTTTGATGTTGTTGAAAAATGCAGTTGCATCTTATTTTTTTGCAGGATATTTAAAAGATAGGAGTGGAACATACGTTACATCATTCTATTTCTTGGGTGGATGTGATATACTTTCTGCATTTATTTTTACTATTGGTCTCGTATACATTAGGAAACTCAAAGAGAAAAGTGTTAGTGAATAAAAAAAATTTGAACAAAAAACCAAAGTCGAACAACGTATGTCATGAATGAATTGTCACTATTTTATACAATCGCAGAGATGTGAGATCGGAAATTGATTTTCATTGCAAAATATTGTAGTCTTTTGAATTATGAATAAAGATACAGTAATAACTTTCATTAAAAAAATAAGATTTATGATACAAGATTTCGGCCGTGAGTTTTCAAATAAAATGAAACAAGCTCTGTAACCGCACGGCTTTCAACAGTGAGAATATATCGGTTTCAGAAAACTGCAAACAAGATACATATACTTTCAATCAATTAAACAATGTATGTTTCCTACCTTGACCAAATTCATAAAAGAACACATAGTGTATCTTGAAAATGACTTATAAAGACTGATTTTATCAAACCTGTTGAAAACTATAGGACTATTTCTTGATGTCTTTGATCGTTTGTTTAGTATGTCGGATTGCTGTCTCATTGACATACACACCACACATCGGCCTCCTTTATATATACGAATTTTATTCGAAACTCGTTCCCAATGTCGGGACCTAAGTTTTGACCATTTTCCTAAAATCTAATCTTTACATGTCACAAGTAAAATTATGCTTGGGTTTCTTGGTAGCAGCAGATACATTGTTAGTCACATTTGCTTATTGTGAAGTTTAAAAAAAGAGTAATTATTGGTAACTAAAACTATCTCTAAACTATAGTTAAAATTTAGCAACGGGTTGAGTGATATCCTAACGCTCTCGTTAGCTAATGCTACCGTTAGATCAAGTTGATCAACATCATTTAAACCTTGCGTTTAGTAATTCTACGTTAGACTTCTTAACGACGCATTGAGGATGACACTAGCGTTAAGTTAACGACAAGTAAAAAAAACTGGCCCCTGTGGTTTAGCACATAACACGGAGTTGATTTCATTGTTGGATATACACGAGATCGGCTTACTGGTGTACTTTAGTCAGTGGTATCTGCAGATCACATAATAGAAACATAGAAATATTGAGAGCTGTATATGCGTTAATCATCACTTTAGCCGGGAAAAAGCTTATACTGATGCAAGAATAAGATAATTGGTAATTCTTGGTATGCGTTGTACACTATACGTAATTGTGATTATACGATTACCAACTTTGAAGATTATGTTGCTGGATTCTGGCTTATTTAGGTATTGAGAATAACATAATAGAAAAAAAGAAAGATGGTATACCAATAGAGTATTTACTTGTATCAAGGTAATTATCATGAAAGAAATACACTAGAACAATTTTTATTCTCTATTCTTGATTTATTGATTGCTGTGTGTTTTAAGCCGCCTCAGTACAAAAATACGATATCGCAGCGAGTGTTGAATTATTCGACAGAGCCTTGAATACTTACAATTGTATTAAGAAGAACAACTGGTATGAGATAAATTTTAAAGTGGACTATGTAGATGCCTTGGTGTCTTGTGTCTTTAGTTGTTTCCTCATAGTTATTGTATAAATCTGTTGTTTATCAAATATGCAATTTGGTCTTGAAAATGATTATGAGATGCTGATAAGTGTAAAATAGATTGCCCACAATAAGAGACGCTCGGACAATGGCAAATTTAAAGGTTGTAAGTATATTATTCCCTTTATGTGAATAGGGAGATGGAAGAGGGTCCTTTCCCTCGTTTCTTAATTCTTTATTGTTTAGACCAATTTTCTTCATATTTATATTTCAGTTCCCCATTTTTCTCTATTCCCTTTTCTTTTGCCTCTTTTTTTTTACTCTTTATTTTTTGTTATTGATTAATTCTACACGTTTTGCTTATTGACTCTATTCTGTAAACCCCCATCTAGACCCTCATTGAACATGTATATACGGATTATCTCCAGTTGAACGAAAGGAAATACACCACTTAGAAAATTATTAACCGAACAAGATTACCAATACATGATATGTATAATGCATTGGTCAAGTAATTATGTAGAGAAAAACAAAGGGGTATTGGGTATCCATCCATGACACAAAGTCAGAACATGCAGAGCAAATAACACACAAAAAGCAAAGGATCAGCGCTTTGATTGCTGTTTTTCATCTCAAAGTCACAGTGAGGCTTTCAACACGGAACAAAAAAACTCACCTCACTGCAGGTTTAAGACGGCCCCAAGCACTGGTTTGAGCGGAATTATTTGCAAAATAATTCGGGTAAACTTTGTAAGATGTACCTCACCAAAACATGAGTTATGTTCTC